ACCGCATCGGGCAGTATTTGTAGAACCTTGTTGTGATTGTCAGTATCGCGAAGTACAGCATCTTTCAGACAACTGCTTCCGTCGACACTACACAGTGGAGAATCTCGAACTGGACCCGTAGAGACCGAATGCAGCGGCAGGAGTTCGTCGTCGGAAAGTACAGCAAGCTCGTTCACCGCTCCAATATAGACCTGGAAAACGACATCACTGAGTTCCCTTTTCGGTTTCGAGAACTGATCCCTTTTTCAAAATATTTTTCTTTCCCGAATATTTTTGAATGTTCAGCTTGTTTCATGGATTAAGGCAGCTCATCTCAATAGCTTCAGAATGTCTGGGACAACCGCTGCATTGGGACAGCGCTAGGTAAAGCGCCACGGAGTTTTTTCGCCCATTTCCTTGAATGCAACCTTGCCCGTCAAAAATCGCATCGCAGTCCCTCCGTTGACCTTTCGCCCTAAGCTTTGTTCTTTAGGTCAAACTTTCAGCTGCAAGGGTTGTTTTCTGCAACGCTACGGGCTTCGGCTTCACTCACACTTGGAAACGAGCTGAAGAATGGCTTAAAAAACCCAAATCAAGTTAGTTAGTTATACAGAAAACATTTGTTTATTTACTGTTTATTTATTTATTCACTGGACGCACGCGTAGGCGTAGGCTACCTTGAATAAGAGTTCTTCGTATACAAAAGTGGCTCAATCGACCTCAACACCATTGGAAAAGCCAATGAGCAGAGGAAGAGAAGAAAAATTTTTCCTGTCAAGAGGGAGAGTTCTGATAATTTGAAAACAGGTCCCGAGAAAAATGCGGAAATCGGAAACGGATTTCCATTTGATCATTGCTGCCGTTCCGTAGTTCTTTGAACCGTTTCTTTCAATATGAAAAATAATTAATGAGACAAATATCACAAACTGCCCGGTAGCATTACATCTATAATTAGTTGCTGTGACACCATGCGCATGCTAGTGTGGAGATTAATTAGAGTCAAGCATATTGCGACGTAAACAAGAGCTGAGCCAATAATAACAATAATTAATAAATAATGCTGATAGTATTGTGGAAGTAAATATTGGCTAAGACATAACCTAAGTTACAATAACAGCGTGCATACACAAGTTCCTCGCCATGGAATGAGCCATGAATTCGAGTCAAGTTTAAATTAGAGGACCTATTAGCACCCGTATCTACATTCATTTCAGTCTACTATAGCACCAAATGGAATATCAAGCTCTTAGAATAAAGCTCTCAAGGAATTGACCTTTAGGCTATTTTGCTCATCCTACTAATAACGGTAAATAAACGATGCAAAGGAGTAATTTTTGAGGCGTTTGTGGTTAAAAAAAAAACTTCTGCTCGCCCCAGTGATGTGAAATCATTTTTTCCATAAAAGCTTCACATGGGTCAAAAATCGATCGACAGGAAATTTCTAAATGAGTATCCCATGGCCACTCAGGCATCAGCAGGTTATCCACTCTTCTTGTTAGGGTTTTTCAAACAACTTCCCCAAGCATCAAGCCGAATAAATGCTGCAACAGTTATTCCCACTGGACAGGCTTCATTAGAGGAGAATCGCTTCATCTAATGGGTTGAAACGAAACAGCGTCTTTATGATGACTCAGCTCGTGCACTCATAAAAAACTGTCAGGTTCGCTCACTACAATGGAAAACTCTTGGTTCTCCCTCAAAGCTGATGAAATTCTCGCCAATGCTAATTGAAAAGTCAAAAATCCCAACCATTACTTCTCAAATAATCAGCTTGAGTCACAAGAAACAACTGAAAATCGGAAATCAGCTGCGACGGCTAGAAATGGGCTGGGAAGTAGGATGAGGACTACGAAACACATGTTCGCCTCGACAACTTCCTTACGATGGCCTAAGTAGGGAAGCCGAAAAAACATCCAATTCAGCTAATATTCTCTCCTAGCATGTCCCACAATTCATTTTCTAAATTTGGCTTTCTCTTATTCTTGGCAAGGAAATTTGGAGTGTGTATCGTTTAGATCTCAGCTTATGATGTATTGAATGGCAGTATGCAAGACCGCAGTAACTTATTAAGCACACGCTTCGCCTCTTTGCCTTTTAGAGCCTAAATCAGCCATAATTTGAGGAGCAGTTTTGAAAACGTTTGATTTATTATGCGTTTTTCTTGGATCTACCCACAAAATCATCAAGAACCATCTTCTTCCGCCCCCCTTATGCAAATTTACATCTTAGGGACATCGCAACCCCTCCCTCTTTTTTACCTGCGCTCTTGTTTTGAACCTGCACTTAGTGCGAAATGACTCAGAGTGGAAAGGACTTTCCACCGAATAGCCGCATTTCAAGTTATCTACGCTATTTTCGTGACTCGCGCCACTCGTCCTTCCCTGAACTTGCAAGTACATCACTCTCAGAAGCGGCTATTGAACAACGATGAGTGGCAATCACTTCGGGATTCAACGGCTGCTGAAGGCTGTTGCTAGCCGACTAATTCCAGCCGAAGCCATGTATTAAATTGCGCAAACTTATAACGCATTCATAGGCCATTACCGTTGATTAAGAGAGGCCGTGGTGCCGCAACACGAGCGTAGATGAATGTTCGATGTGTAAAGCTGCTAATGGGAAATGCAACGGGGTCGTGGACCGTTTCCGCATTGAAATGGAAAACGTCTAATGAAGAATGGCGACAAACCTTTCCATCTTCTATGACGACATTGTTAATGGCAGTCTTCGAGTAATAGAAATGCTGAGCGGAAATGAGCAGCCGTACATCGTCGAGAAGGCAGATCAGCAAAAGACGAACAAGAAGACGTCGCATCGCAACATCTGAAACCACCACAGATACGAGGATGATGACGATGATGAACGGCGACACGATTGGAAACAGAACTCGTTCCAATGGGCAACGTAACGCAATTAGCTTCGGAAAATAGGACACAGCTATACGAGTTGAGCACGTGGGTAAACGGACTGCATGTCACGGAGCATGAAGAAAGTCGCGGATAGTGAGAGTTAAAAAGTAGTAAGTTGACAGAACACATGTGTTGAATCAAAAAGCTTCGATTAATGAATGATATTCAGGGGCTCATGTGAAAAAGCGATCCGATGGAACGACTACAGGCTCTGAGCGAAGGCTCCGAGACAGCGAACGAGGAAAGATGCTTATAAAAGCCAATATCGTCAATCAATACCAATCAATACCATGGAGCGGATGAGGAATCTGAATAAATGTTCTAACAAGGAAGGACAGAGAGAGGCACAGTTCTGCACGGTGGGAGGTAAAGTCGGACCGTGGAAGCCCAACTAATCTAAGGCTCGAAGATAAACCGGAGGAAAAGTGTTGAAGGAGATCCGAAGAGAAAAATCAGTTATATGGTAACTAGTACCAATATGAACTGCAAAACGAAATTGGCCATGTTCGCTTTCTAGCCCCTCTT